TTGTTGTTGTGAAAGTTGCCACTCCAGAAATACATATTGAGATAATACACAAGTATACGTATCGTTATCAAGTAATATAGGGTTTTTTGATTAAAACCTGAATATCAAATCCACAAGAAAGATATGCAATATGCACTTTTTTGGAAAACTTTATATTTTAAAAAGATAATTATTTAAACTAAAGACATTTTCGCAGTAAAGAAAATTTAAATATTTTGGGTAATTTTAATATTTTGACAAAAACAGTACAAACTTAAAAAGATAACTTTAGTTTTTGTAGAAGAAAAATACTAAATATGAAAATATCTTTCTCTTAATCATGAATCAGTAATAAGTATAAGAATTCTGTTGTGGATGTATGCATATTGTGTTGTGCTAAATAGGAACAATAATATTCTTTACCCTTACTAGAGATGCTATAAAGAACATTGACTAATTTAAAGTTTGAATAGTTCTGAAGATCGGCTATGCAGAGAAGATACTAGCTCTCACTCTAGAGTTCCCTCGATTCCCTCCATTTGGGGGCTAACATCTCGTATCAGAACCTAAAATAATAAATTAAGTTTGGGTTTTAACCTGACACTTTAAAGTCCTCTAACAAAGTCCTCTAACTCTACACCCTCAATGAATATTTCCCTATTTATTTGCACTAAATCATATGAACTACATTCTTATTCATACAACCTCATGTGTTTTTTTTCAATTGTGGACTGAGATAATACCAGCCCGATTCTTACATGTTCTCAAAATAAATTTTAACATCTAGATTGGCCAAATCAAGAAGTAAATGAATTACATGGATTTAAATCATCACAATTTCTCCCAACATTAAAGATCAATACTCTCCACAACTTCCATCCAATACTTAATTACTTATTATTTTAAGAAGAAAAATAAAGAAAACTACTCAAAATCCATAGAGAAAACAAAATCGCACTTTAGTTTAAAAGTAGAAATTATTGTTAATTCAACAACAAGTCTCAATTAAAACCAAAAGCAGTCTAAAACAAAAGATAAAAACATATCTCAAGTCCTTCACCAAACTCTTGAAGTTCATTTGAATCTTTTTTCTTTTACAACTCTCAATATAAAACTAAAATAAAAAAGGATAAATATGTGGTGCCTGAAAATCTCTCCAACTAACTCCCCAATTTTTGAACTTTTAAAACTTTCTCAGTACTTTCAGGACCTCTTTCAAAGTCCTAATCTTCTTTCTTTTATAATTCTCCAAAATGTGGCTTGGTATCTCTTCAAAATGTGTCTTGATTAGATGTATTTCTCCAAGAGATGCATCCTTTCGCAATAATTTTTGTCCATAGTGGTTGTAACCACATATTAAGCCAATAGGTGTCTCAAAAACCTTTTCAAAACTCGCAAAAATTGAATTTACTCGTCAAATAACTGCCACTAACGCTTAAGCGAGGAGCCTCTAGCGCTTAGGCGCTGCCTTCTCTGTTTAACCGACGCTTAAGCGTCGGATCTGACGCTTAGACGCCAAAACACTTTTGCACATTTTTCACCTATTTTCTTTAAATTTGATCATTTTTCACTACTTTAAGCATTTTTCACCTTTTTACCTGTACCTGAAAGAAAAACACAAAAAAACACAAAAATATCAAAAACACAAAAATATCTTTCATTAAAGCGCAATACCTCAAAAATAGGTATAAAAATGTGTCTAAAAACACTATATATTTTAGACGTATCAGGGACCAAAATTTTTAGAATAATACATTTCATGAACATCTTAAAGGACCTTTTGTGAGGAGTAAGCTACACGTCGGATTACGATGATTAACCCTATCCAACAACCTACTCTCACATGGCTATAGGAGCTCCTCATCAAGGGGTTGATAGTTGGCGGTCAGACCAATGCAGTTGATCGGTTGACTCAAGCCAACCAAGCCGCCCGGAAGACTGCAGATCAACGGAAACCGATGTGTAGCCCACAAGTTAATATAGTTGGTCGAATGAGCCTTGCCATCACTAATACGCCTAATAATTCGAGTACTACACCCAACACTAGGGGGATTTAAACCCCAGACAAAGGAGGCTTACAACTGACTAGCAGATGCCCGACCAACTGATCTGAGTACGCGGTGCGAGATATATATATATATAGTCCCTAACTTTTGCACGTTTTGGTGATTTTGGTTTTTGGTCTTACATGTATCTTTATTTTTTTGTGTGTTATACTGTGTAGGTAGGGTTGCCTTTTTGGGCCCACTCATACAATCTATCTGTATCTTTTTTATTTTAATATATTAGCCCTTAGGAATATATATATATATATATATATATATAGATATTGAATTCATACTAACTTTCTAGCATTTCAAAAAAAGTAAATACCCAATTTTTTTTATTAAGAGCAATATAAAATTAAACTTGTCTTCTTTTCTTTTTTTTTTAAGCCTACAAACCTCTATAAATATGCCCCCCCTCACTCCCCACTCGCCAATTCTAGCTAGAAGAAATTAATAAACTTAGCCTCTGCAGCCATGATCTCCCTAGCTATCACCAGCAATACTTCTCCAACGGCTCTCAGAACCAAACCCATGAAAGCATCCGGCGAGCTTCATGCAGCCATGGATCAGCCGAGCAAAGCAGGGAAGCTGGCTGCTTGGACGAGCATACCCCATGATAAATGGGCGGGAGAGCTCCAACTGCAGGGAGAGATTCCTCTTTGGCTCGTAATTTGTCATTTCCTTTTATTTCTATACTTTTTTTAATTTCGTTCATAATACCCTAAATCAATAATGGAATTATGGGTACCAATATGGGTACCAATCTAGTAGAGAGAAAAAAAAAAAAACAAAAACAAAATATAAATCGTGCAAAATTAAATTTTTTAACAAAGTATAAGGTTTATAATCGCAGTCATCAAGTCCATTTAAGCACATGAAAATGAAATTTTATCAATAATCTCATAATCTCTATCACCCTTAATTATTTTAAGATGGTTTTTGAAAAATATTAATTTGTAGATGACGAAATTCTAATTAATAGACTTTGAATACATCGATCCCTATCACCAACACACACACACACACACACACACACACACACACACGTGCCGCAAGCCGTGACCTGTTGGTTGGCGGGGGTTCACTGTAAGTCTTCTTAGGTCACGGGTTCGATCCCCTGTGACGCGGGGTTCTTGAATAGTTAGGCACTTGGCGCGGCTCTCATCATGGGGTCTTGATGTACATGGAAAATTGATATTTGGGCATCTGCCAAATATTAATTTCTTTTAAAAAAAAAAAAAGAAGTTAAAAAAAATAATAATGATGTGTTTGGGTTGATAGGTTAACTTGTGCTTAATTTTAGAACTTGATTCGAGCTGATCTGCCCAAAATTGATATAAATTGGACCAAAAATTACTTATCTGCCAACTCGAATTTGATTCAAATTTTACTCGAATGATTGTTCACTTATTTTAAATATATTAATCGGGATTGATTTAATTTAATCAAATTTAAAGTCAATCAATTTCGGATAAAACTTTCTGACAACACTTAATAAACAAGTTAGGCTCGGACCATATAGATTTGATTGGGTCAAATTCCAATAAAACCCTTGTGAGGCAACTTCATTAACCCTAAGGAGATGGCAAGGTCATGTGCTGCTAGTAGGGGTGTAAAAGAGTGGCCGAGCTTGAGTCAACCCTAATTCAAGATCCGATTGCCCGCTAGAATGCAAGCTCGAGCTCAGTTTACAATGATAATAGCAGGTAAGCGAGCTGGCTCAGGAGCTCAAGACCAAAATCAAATTATCATAGAGCTCAAAGAAGAAGACATTGATGTGAACATCAGCTTAGTAGTCGAGCCGATTTGTGAGTTGACGAAATATATTAGATGCACACTAATATATTTCGATCACATCTATCTATTTAAATTAAATAATTGTGTCAATTTATAAGAAAATTTACTTCCACAGGATACAATTTTTTTGTTGGCACACATTAAACTCCAAATATATAATATTTACATTTTTAACACTTTGGCATCAAAAATTTTTGAATGACAAAATGTATTTCACTTTTAAAAAGATAATTATAGTGCTATTTTTAATTTAATTATAATGATTTGAGTGATATATATGTAAATATAGGCATTAAATATGTAAATACATACATATTGATCCGTTTGAAATAAGTTTATATAATTTCTTAGTTGTATTTGTCCTTATTGAGCCGACCCTTTTCATACATTCCTTCTTTGGTATATCAGTAGGGTTAGAGCTGAGTCAAATCGAGTGTATTATTGTTCGGACTCAACTTGACATAATTATAAGTTATTTATGTTCGGCTTGAACTTATGTCAAGCTTTCATATATTGTTCAATCTTGAGTTATTTATATTTTTCATTGTTTGAACGTGATTTGTACTTGATTTGTTTGTGACAATTGAATGAGTATTTAAACGAGTTAATACATCAGCTAAAAATTCAAATGATTATTTGGCTTTCATATAAAAAGTTTTATAAACAATGTAACATAAATCCTACCAATCAACAAAAATGGCATAATAAAGCCCTAAAAGATCTTAAATTTCTTTTCTCCTTCATTTTGGATTAAATCCGGGATATTGTCTAAACAACAAAAATGACAACTTTAAACCATACATGATCTTAAATCTTATATCTCCTCTTTTTTTATACGTGCACTCAGAGTTTCGTATGTTTCGGGCAAAATTGGGAGTGGTAAGAAGGAAAGTGAAGGTTGAGGGGGTTTAAAGTTAATTTTAAGGGGCATTAATACATAACACATAAGTCATATGTAATTTCACATCTAACACCTAAAATTTAATAATGTATGGTTTAAAGTTGTCATTTTTGTGTTATGTATTAAAAATTTAACAAGTTTCTTGTTGAAAAACTTGTTTATTTTAAAACATCCAGTATTTAACAAGTTTCTTGTTGAAAAACAAACGAGTTTATTCGTCAACATAAATGAATAAGTTCAATTATGTTCATGCGTTGTTCATTCACACTTTTTAGCTTTCAAAAATTGTTCAAACTTGTTTATTTACTAATTTGAACAAACATGATCGAGTCTTAATTAAGCCGAGTTTGAGTTGTTCATCGAGTGCATTGCTTCATTTAATTTACAGCCCAAGGCAGATGATTTCTGCTGCATCAATGCTTTGATCAAGCTTTGATCAAGCTTTTCAACAAATTTGTTCCATATTTTAATTGAAATTCTTCACAATCAAACATGAATCATCCAACAAATTATCCAACTTGTTCATTCAACAATTAAATATCTATAATAATATTCAAATTCAATTTATCGACCGGAAACAGATTATAAAAACTTAGACCATATTAGATGGATTTATACATGAACTAATCCTCCATCTGTTTTATCTTTCAACAAAACTAACCAACACATGTACACAACACATGCACAGAACGGCACATACATAAGAAACGGCCCCGGCGTATGGCACATCGCCGACCACAACTTCCTCCACCTATTCGACGGCTACGCCACTCTCGTCCGCCTCCACTTCCGCCGCGGCCGCCTAACCGCCAGCCACCGCCAAATCCAATCGGAAGCCTACAAAGCCGCCAAACAGAGCAATCGGCTCTGCTTTCGCGAGTTCTCCGAGGTCCCCAAATCCAGCAACTTCTTCTCCTATCTCGGCGGTCTGGCTGACCTCCTCACCGGCGCTTCGCTGACCGATAACGCAAACACGGGCATCGTGCGGCTGGGCGACGGCCGCGTGGTCTGTCTCACGGAGACGGTGAAGGGATCGATAGAGATAGATCCAGACAGTTTGGGGACAATTGGGAGGTTTGAGTATAGGGATGGGGTGAGGGGGGTGGTTCAGTCGGCGCACCCGATGGTGACGGACAGGGAGATGGTGACGATTCTGCCGGATTTGGTGGGGGCGGGGTGGTGAGGATGGAGGTGGGGGGGAATGAGAGGAGGGTGATTGGGAGGGTTGAGTGCAGGGGAGGGCCGGGGCCGGGGTGGGTGCATTCGTTTCCGGTGACGGAGAATTATGTGGTGGTGCCGGAGATGCAGCTTCGGTATAGTGTGGGGAACATTCTGAGGGCGGAGCCAACGCCGCTGTACAAGTTTGAGTGGAGGCCGAATTCAGGGAGTTACATGCACGTCATGTGCAAGGCTACTGGTACAGTTGTGAGTTTTTCCATCTCTTTGGCTTTTATTATTATTATTATTATTATTATTATTATTTTAAATTAAATAGCTTTTGTGAACTTTTGTTTAAGAAATAAAATTAAAAACTCCACAATTTAAATCTCTACATAATGAAATTACATTTCACACAAAATTTCTCTAAAACATGCAATTTTGTCTATTTATTCAGGTGGCCAGTGTGGAGGTTCCACCTTTTGTAACCTTCCACTTCATAAATGCATACGAGGAGGAGGATGATGAGGGTAGAGTCACCGCCATAATCGCCGACTGTTGCGAGCACAATGCTGATACGACTATTCTCGATAAACTACGCCTCGACAACCTCCAATCATTCATCGGCCAAGACGTCCTACCAAATGCGAGGTAATAAATATTTTAAAATATCTAAAGACATGTAGAATACTACACACAATATGATAAGATATTAAAAATGATTATTTCTAATGTTTGATTAATAAGGATATTTAATTTTTTAATTAATATTAGTGAGAGTCTTGTACTTCTATAAATAGTTATTTATAGAAATATAAGACTTTCACTAATTCAAATTAACTAATTAGCTATTCTTATTAATCAAATACAATCTTTAATATCCTATCATAAATCATTATTATTTTTAAGTTTCTTTAATTAAAAATTTGATTAAGTGGAATGGATTAAGAATTGATTGTTGATGAATTGTTAATTATGATGAATATGATCAGGGTTGGGAGATTTCGTATACCTTTGGACGGGAGCACCACTGGATCACTGGAATCGGCACTGGATCCCGAAGAGCATGGGCGGGGAATTGATATGTGCAGTATTAATCCTGCTAATCTTAGCCGCCCGTATCGCTATGCTTATGCATGTGGAGCCCAACGGCCTTGCAACTTTCCAAACGCTCTTACCAAGGTTACTACCCCACAAAGTAAAGAAGTCAATTAAAATTAAGTTCATTTTCAAATCATTTTTGGGAATAACATTAAGAATAGTACTTTTGTTTTAAGCAACCAACTAGGAATCCATAAAAATAATTAATAAAAATTAGGTTGTTTCGGTTAGCTGCAGCTGTTTGGAAAACCAGTTTCGAAACTGCTCTTAAAAAAGTTGTTGTTCAAAAAGTTGAAGTAGCAGTTAAATTTTTTTTGTTCAAATTCGGGCCATAGCTTTCTAGCCGTCATCACACTAACCAGATCTTGTTGCAAAATGCAACTGTCAGCTGCTGACAAAATTATTTGATTTTGTTAAATAAAAAAAAAAAATTAGGTGCAGCACCGTCGCCCCAAATGCACCCTTGACGACCTAAAAAAACATTCCTATGCTAATCAAGTTAGGAAGAATTGTATTGCAGCATAGATGACCTTACATGCATGAATAATTATAGTTTTTTTTTTTTTCTTTTCTATGCTAATGCAGATAGACTTACTAGAAAAGAAAGCAAAAAATTGGCACGACAAAGGTTCAATACCTTCTGAACCTTTCTTCGTCGCAAGGCCAGGAGCGTCTGAGGAAGACGATGGTAAGCCACCATAATCTTAAAGAAAAAGAAAAAAAACCATTAATTTTACCCAAAAAAAAAAAACTTTAATTTATATACCAATAGTAAATAGCCAACATGCAGAAGTAATTTTACTTAAACTAGAACAAGAAAATTAATCTAATTTCATTAAGCCTTTTAGGTGTGGTTATATCTATCATTAGCGGCCAAAATGGAGAAGGTTATGCTCTCATACTCGATGGCTCCAGCTTTGAGGAGATTGCACGAGCAAAATTTCCTCACGCACTTCCTTATGGTCTGCATGGATGCTGGATTCCAAAGAAGCAATAATTAGCAGCGATGGGTTAATTAATGCTTCATCTCGAATGTGTATTTTATAGACTATAAACAGCTTGTTATGTTTATTTTATATGCACGTACATATGTTTGCAATGGCAGTGTTGCTATGGTTTGTATATGGTTCTGTTATATATTGTGTCAAGATTATATGTATGTTGGCATGTTGCATATTAGAGGGGCTTCTATGAGCTTGTATAAATTAATAGTATTAATTTTTGTTTGTATTTTAGAATGTTTATGCTAACCAATAATGAGGGAAAGGAGGGCCAAATATGTTAGAAGAGAAGATTATATGGCTTCAAAGCCCAAGTGTTCACTAACAAACCATTTTAAAACAAAAGAAAAGAGCATTTATATATACATACCGCCCAAACTCTACATATATTAATGTTTAACAATTAAGCTTCACATTTTGTATTTTTACCACCCAAATCTTAAAGTTTAGACGTTAGATATTTAAAAAAAAAAGAATTGAGTGGTATGTATGAAAATCTTCCAAAACATAGATATAGCAATGCCTAATTCAATTAATTGATTTTCGCTATTAGATTATTTAGCTATATATTTGAAGTGAAGAATACAAAATGAGGAAGTTTGTTATTTCACTTGAGTTATTTGGTTGATAAGTGATTTAGAGAGGTTTTTCATACAACATATACAAAATGTTTTTGCACTAGAGGTGAAAGAGAAGTCGGATGCATACAATATTTTCAGCCATAGAGGCATTCCGTCTCTATCGTGCTAAATGAATAAAAGAAGATGAGACGGTACCTTCAAGATTTTCTTTCAATTTGCATGATTAGAATAGAGAAGTGGAGGTGTTGTTGGGACATATAAGGGCAAGCAGGACAGTATGATATTTATGTAATCTAGCTGTTGAACGGAGAGACAAAAGTAAAAAAAGTGCTACGATGTATGGTTCAGGTAGGAGTTTTGGGCTTCTGCTAAAAAATGAAAGCAGTAAAGAGTATAATTACGAGCAATTGAAGGAAAACAGACGAGGCGCATTGCTATAAATTTTATTTCAAATAGGGGGAAGGGGCATTTTTTACTTTGTTGTATGTACTTGTTTAGTCATTTTCTGAATATGAGAGGAATTGGAGAGTAACATAGAAGAGGGGAAGTGGAGGTTGTGTGCTCCCCTCCTCACCAACACTCCTCCCCCCTCCCCTCGTCCTCCCCCTTGATTTGCATGTTTTGAACAGAGAAGTGTGTGATTCTTGTGACTTACATAAGCAATCATGATAGTATAGGCATCTATGCAATTCTTCATGTCGAATAGGGAGCCAGAGCAGGAGAGAGCTACAACGTGTGGGTCTTGTGTGAGTTTCAAGTTCTTGCTTAAAATAAGAATAATATGAAGGTTATAATTATGGGCGGTTGAAGAAGAGTAGACTAGGAGAATAGTTATAAATTTAATTTCAAATTGGGAGGATGGGCTTTGTTAATTTGTTGTGTGGACTAGTTTAAGGGTTTTCTGAATAAGAGAGGAAGTGGGAGCCACAGGGAAGAGGGGAAGTGGAGGTTGTAGATTCCCCCCTACCCCCACCCCCCAGTCCAAAAAGAAAAAAAAATTATCATGTGAAATGAATAAAATAAGATGAGATAGTGGCTCTATGGGAGTTCCTTTGATTTGCATATTTTGAACAAGGAAGTGGGAATGTTATTGCAGCTTACCAGAGCGAACATGATATTGTGGGCATTTATGCAGTTTAAGGTTGTCAGGTCCTCTCTTCAGTTGATATGAAATAAATTAATCGACATAAGGAACAAATGTTGTAGCCACAATTGAAGAATCAATTGATTGGAGATAACCATTCTCGGATTATCTGCAAGAAGAAAAATTACCTGAAAATAAATCACTGGCTCATCAAATAAAATCTAGCTTCTTAGATATTCATAAGGCGAAGGTTTCTCTAAGTTAATCTTAGTTAGAGAAACTTATTTTTATAAATCCTTAGAAACATGTTCTTTAGGTTTTTCAGTTTCCACTGTCTCTTTTTCAATCTCAGTAACTTTTTGAACTACATCCTCCAACTCTTTTCCACTTCTAAGTTGAATAGCTTTAAGATGCTCACTATTCTTCTCCTTAGCTTTTATCTTAGTGTTGCTAGGAAGAGTACCTTGGGCCCGATTACTAAGTGAGTTAGAAATTTGTTGCTGTTGGTTCTCTATATTCCATATTGTTTCATCTTGACTTCGTAGTTGATTCTCCATTTGTGACACAACTTCTTCCAAAGATAACTTCTCCTTAAATTGTGGATTAATGTTAAAGCATGGTGGATAAGATAGTCTATAGTTGGCACTACCCCGGTTATTCCAATTTCCTAAAGGGTTTACTCGGTTATTTCCTCATTGTTGGTTTCCACCACCAGAATTATTATTCAAGTTGAAGTTAGGATGGTTATTCCAACCTGGGTTATGAAATTTGGAATAAGGGTTGTTTGGTTTGTTGTTAATTATATTTAAGGTCTTAAATGATGAAGTGCTAGATTCGACCAATCCTCAATTATAAGAGATATTTGAGGTTGGTTCATTTCAATTGATCTAGCTTGCTGCAACTTGAGAAGTAAGAATTGAAAGCATTTTAATATCATGCACATTGGCTACCATTCTAGGATTTACACTTTTAGAAAGACCATTGCAAATTATTTATAGTCATCTCCTCAATTAAAGAGCAAGCCTCATCAAATAGCTTCGACATGAGTGAACCACCAACGTTGTCATCAATAATAGATCTAAGAGATCTTACTAAACCATTATAAAAAGTTTGAATAATTAACCTATTGGGGAAAACATGTTGTGGACACTTACTAAGAAGTTCCTTGAATCTTTGTTAAGTTTCATATATTGACTCACCTTCATACTAACAAAATGAAGTAATATCATTTTTAGGTTTAGCAGTTTTTGAAGGTAGAAAGTATTTAGCAAGAAATTTATGGGCTAAGTCATCCCAAGTCTTGATCGATCTAAATGCTAATGAATTCGGCCACATTTTAGCCTTATTCCTTAAGGAAAAGGAAAAAATCCTAAGTCTAACAACATTGTTTGACATGTAGTTTTAAGGAAATGTAGCGCAAAGTTTTAGAAAATTTTTTATGTGTTAATTTGGATCCTCAGATAGAGTTCCCCCAAATAGTTTGCACCATTTGGATAATAACATATTTCAATTCAAATGTGTTAGCTTCTATGACAGGAATTTATATACTTAAGTGAATTTCATATGTCGTAGGATTAGTGTAATCCCTTAATGGTCTATGCGCGTTAAGATATTCATTATCTGGTATTTTACTATCTAAATTGTTTTGTTGATTGTTTGTCATTCCTTCTACAAGTTGATGAAGACTTTTTTATTTTCATTTTTTTCTGAAGTCCTATCTAATTCTGAATCATACGGTACAAGTCCGAAGGTCCTATACTATACATACATAACAGAAGACTTTAATATTAATAAGAAAATGAAAATATATTTTTATTTAATTTTTCTTATATATATATATATATATATATATATCAAATAAAGAAACATTTACACAAAAAAACTACAATACGATTTTTCAAATCTAAGTGTAATTAAATCAACTAAAGTCCTCTTAAAAGATAATTTACCGTCGCTTCCCTGATAATAATGACAGAAACTTGATCTGCCCTATGTGTGTGTGTCACAATGATATAAATTCTGGTATACTTACCAGAAACTTGATCTGCTACTTAGTAAATTGATTAAGAATTTAAAATTAAATATTTGTACGCACCGGGGTTTTCCATGTAAGTATACACATCATTTCAATAATACATATTTTTATTGAGTCTGGATTTCGATCCCACATGAAAGGTGGTAATGACTCTAATCAGAGAAGTTCTAGTTTACTATGATATGGTGTTATCTTGGAATATAATTTAAATTAGTCTTTCTAATAGTTACATCTAAATTTTTGCACTAAATTTAAAGGCTAATTTTAACTATTCTTGCTGATTTTTGGTGATATCAAGATATGAAAGATACCAATATCTTGTGAGTGTATAAGTGGAAATGTAGGATATTATACTAAGAATCTAATGTGGACAGTGACAATAGGAGCATGAATCTAAATTACCCTCTTAAGAGTGTGTAACAAAGTTTGGTTTAACTCAATAAATGTTTCTTCCTGTCACCCTATAAACTCCTAAGTTAAATCCCCTCAAAACTTATGTTCCTATCTAATTGCATTGTCCTATGAACTACTTTATCTTCTCCCATAAGTTCAATGTGATTTTTCCTAGTTGATAACGTCTAGTCTTTCCAAACTTTATGGGTTTGAAATAGTTTTAACACACAAATTGACCAAATTAATTAGTAAATTAAACATGAAGTAAAAAATATCACATTAAGATTAAAAGTTTAATTCTATAAGTATCTTTACATCCTACATTTCCTACATATGAATCACAAGAGAGAGGTAAATGAAACCTACTCATTAAGCATGAAGAACATGATGGAAACCTTCATTAAACAACAAAATAAATCCACTAAGTATGTGTTACAAAAATTACAAGACAAATGTAAATGCAATACTTAGCTTTTCTTCTCATAAGAGATGAAAAGTTCCTCCCAACATTGGATCCAAGTCTTTCTTGCACTGATGAATTGATACCCTTACAATATTCACCTCACCATGCACTCGAGAACATGTGGTAAACATACAAACCATAAGTTTTGCTAGAATTTCGTAGCCTTCCTCTACACTTTCCTTGGCTTCCCAGATGTTCCTACTTCTCTCTGATGCTTCCCCTTCATTCCTCCTCTCTTTACTTCTTGCCAAATCCCATGTCAAAATGCTTAAGATCATCAAATAACTCCCAAATTCACGGTTCAACAACTATAGAAAATGACTGTAACTTGGCACCGAGAACTTGGCTTCTAAGCGCCGCCTTCTTTGTTGGATGCATAATATTCTAACGCCTAGGCACCCAAAAGCCGGCGTTAAGGTGCTTGAATGGAATTTCTTGGCCCCCAAAATCCGGCACTTAGGCGCCTGTTATGTTAAATCCAAGTTTTCTTCATTCAACTCTTTTTTGCTCATTTTTAATTCTGCTTTGCTCCAAGTGTTGTACATGTTGTACCTATACAAAAAATACTAAAATATCTTTCTTTAAAGTGCAGTTTCATATAAAAATAAGTGTAAAAAACCAAGGAAATAAAACATGCTTTAGGACATATCATATGTTCAAAAGAAAATATCTGAAATGATATATAATAATTAAAACAAATGATACATCTTAAAGAAAAATATTTTATTGGAGAAGATTTAAATGAAAATTTTAGTAGAGTGGTAGAGGATTTTAAAATAATCACCGTGATTTTGGTTTTAGATAGAACCATATTAGATTTTGCTTTAGTGTATGTTTTTTTTTAATTATTATTTTAATTAAGAAAATAGATAAGCATATTATTACTTATAATAGATATAATAGAACACAAATTGATTATTTTCTTATGAGAAAAAGAAATCATCTAGAATGTAAAGATTGTAATGTCATTCCAAGTGAAAATTTAAGCACCCAACTTTGATTAGTAGTTTTGAATTTTATGATGAAGAGCTGTAAGATAAAGAATACAATAAAATAATATCCTAGTCATAAATGGGGAAACCTAAAAGAAACATAAGATTATTTTTATGAGTAAACTTCAAAATTTGGGATGTTTATGAAGAAACTAATTCTATGTGGAATAAAGTAACAAACACTATTAAACAAATGACAAAAGATGCACTTAGAGATCAAAAGGGAAAAAAATAAATAAAAATAGTTGGCGGTTGAATAATAATGTGTAAGAAAAAATAACATATAAAAAGTTGTGCTATAAAATTAATTTAAATGTAAGAGCTTAGAGAACTGAGAAAATATAAGGTGGCCCGTAGGGAGTCTAAGAGATCAATTTATAATGCTAAAAAATCAATTTTTAGTAATCTTTATAATAAATTAGATACTAAAAAGATAAAAAAATTTATGTATAAACTAGCCAAACAAAGAGAAAATAAAAGTAACGATTTAATTCAAGTAAAGTGTATTAATGATAAAAATCAATAAGTATTTTTTTAAAGGAAGATAGTCAACATAGGTGGGTGAGCTTTTTTGATAAACTTTTCAATGAAATTTATAAAATTACAATCAACCTTAGTGAATAAAATGTTTTATTTTTACCGTTAAATTATTGAAAAGAAAGTTGAGGAGGCTTTAAGGAAAACCAATAGTGGAAAATTAGTAGAACCTAATGATATCCCTATTGAAGTATGAAAATATATATGAGATTTTGGAGTTACTTGGCTTACTAAACTCTTTAATATTACTTTAAAAAATAAAAAGATTCATGAGGAAGAGTATTTTAGACTCCATTTTTAGGAATAAAGGGTATGCACAAGAGTGTACAAATTATAGAGAAATTAAGTTATTATGTCATACTTTAATATTATGGAGAGGGTTATTGAATATATATTAAGACGTGATATAAATATTTCTCATATTAGTTTGAATTTATGTCGTAAATGTGTACAATGGAAGCTATACATTTATTGAGAGGTTTGATGGAGAAGAACAGAGCGAGTAAAGAGGATCTACATATGATTTGTATTGCTTTAGAAAAGCTTACGATAAAGTTCCAAGAGAAGTCCTTTGGATGGTTCTAGAGAAAAGAAAGTGTTGATATAACTTATGTTTAAATCATTAAGGATATGTATACTAGAGTTGTTACTTGTGTTCAAATAGAAAGAGAATTGACCAAGTATTTTTCCTATTTCATTTGGATTATAGGTATCAGCTTTACACCCAGATTGTTTTGCTTTAGTTATGGATGCTCTTACTCGACATTTATAGGAGAATGTACATTGATGTATGCTTTCACTCATGATATCCTTCCTGTGGATAAGACTAGATAACGAGTTTAGTAAAAAACCTGAATTATAAAGGTCTACATTGAAGTCTAAAGGCCTTTGTTTAAGTAGATCTAAAACTGAATACATGGAGTGCAATTTTAGTAGCAGGAGCTCTAGTGGCAGAGTTGTATCTATGGGAGAATCAAATCAATAAAAGGTTTAAACGTTTTAGATCTTAAGTCTATTGTTTAAAGTGATGGTGATATAGATGAGGATGTTATTAGTAGAATTCAAGTTGGTTGGTTGAAGTGGGGGAATGCATGAGGCCCATTGTGTGATAAAAAAGTATCGCTTAGACCTTAAGGAAAATTTTATAAGATGACGATGAGGCCTGCAATGCTTTATGGTGAAGAATGTTGCCTTTAAAAGAGAAAACATAAAACAAAGTTAAGTGTAATGCTTAAGTGGATGAGTGACTTGACACTAAGAGACAAAATGCGAATAAAATCTATCTGTGAAAGGATTAGACAAGATTAGATAGTGGTCTTATGATCCACTTAGAAAAGAAGATGTTTTAGATTTGACTTATGTTAAGAGAGTTAAAGTTAGATTTAATATATTATATAAAAAAAATCTTAATTATTAGAATTAAATGAAAAAATGACAGGACATAATAATAGGATATAATGAAGAAAAAAAATTCACGTAGCAAACTCCAATGCTTCTTCTTCTTTCTTCTTCTTGTTTAGTGTAACCCTCTCCATGCAATCGAGCGTAAACGAGCTCAAAGGAAGAAGCGGCTCGAATGTTAGATGCGAGAAAAAGACGGAGACGAAGTAATAAAGTGATCTGCGAGAAGGACGACAACTGAAACGTCGAGAAGCAGAGCTGAGACGGTACAAATATCGCCGACGATGATGCCTTGCCTGCTTTTGCTCCTCCGTGGAGGTGAACATTCCTCCATTCAGGTAAGCCCGGTCCTGTCCAGGCGGAGACGTCCTTTCTGCTATCTGTCAGCTTTTGCGCTTCTAGCTTTCTCTTCGAGCCTTCTATCTTTCTGGATTGCTGGCTGATCAGAGATTTCTGCTGGCAGAATGAGAAAATTGTTTTTCGTGAAGAAAACGGCGGCAATGGTGGCCATGGATGCAGAGCAAGCATACCAAGTTCAGGTTACTAGAAGAGGTTCCCAAATTCCAGGTTTTACTGCTTAAAAGGTTGATCTCGGTAATCTTCTCTTTTTTCTTGAATTTATATTTTGATTAATTTGTAGCCTTTGGAATTCTACGATTGAAGGAATGAAATAGTTTTGTAGGGTTACGTGTTTATTAAAGTGATTGAAGATTTTGTAAAGGTGGGAAATGTATGGAGAGCGTATTCTTCTATGTTCTTGTACTAATTGTGTGCATATAAGAGAGAGTATTGTCCCGGACAAAAAATCACACATCGCCTAGGTGTAGGGCCGATTATCAGTATTTAAATCCTGGGCTGCCCACCACCCCTAAAAGCTCTTTTGGGAGGTGACAAGTGGTATCAAAACAGATTACTACCTGTCAGATGTGCAGACTCTTCATGGTCAAGTGGGACCCTCGGGGGGGCCGGCCCTCGACGAGGGCGTCACGTGATTGGGTGGAGGAGAATGTCACGGACAAATAGTCCCACATCGGCTAGGTGTAGGGCCGAAAAATAGTATTTAAGTCCTGGGCTGCCCACCACCCCTAAGAGCTCTTTTGGGAGGTGACAGTATGCTTACTTATATGCTACTTAGTCTAAAGATGCTTCTTTACTTTATAGGTGCAATAATTGCTTAAAATTTTTCACACATTTCACTTCGTTCCTAAGTCCTAACTTCTTATAATATTTTGGATTCTTATTAGAAATCGGCAATATTTCCCAATCCTTCTCATTGGTGTTCATTGATTAGCTCCAATCATGCCACTAATTCACGTCATTGCTGATCTCAAGCCCGGATGTGAAAAGTGGAGGATTGCGTTAGGTAGTCGACAAACAACGTAAGACTTGTCGAAAAAATTACGATAGGAATCTTTTGTGTAAGTGCTAAGGCGTCCTCTGGAAACGACGTGCTGTATGACTTGAATACAGTAAAAAATGTGCAAGGCCTTCATTTGAGTAGAACTAAAACTGAATACGTGGAATGTAAGTTTAGTAGTAGTAGCTCTAGTGACAGAAGTGTAACTTTGGATGATCAAATTATTAAAAGTTGTGAACGATTTAGATATCTTGGGTCTGTTATTTAAAGTGATGGTGATATAGATGGGGATTTTAATAGTTGAATTCAAGTTGGTTGGTTGAAGTGGAGGAATGCTTTGGGTCTTTTGTGTGATAGAAAAATACCGCTTAGACTGAAAGAAAAATTTTATAATATATTGGTGAGACCTGCAATTTTCTATGGCCCTGAATGTTGGCCTTTAAAAGAGAAGCATAATACTAAGTTAAGTGTTACCGATATGAGAATGCTTAGGTGGATGAATGACTTTACACTTAGAGACAACATGCGAAATGATTATATCCGTGATAGGGTTAGTGTAGCTTCAGAGATGGACAAAATTAGAGAGAGTCGTCTTAGATGGTTTGGTCACATTAAACGTCGACCATCTGATGATCGATTAGGAGAGTAGATGTTTTAGACTCGACTTTTGCTAAGAAAGACAGAGGTAGACCTAGTAAGACTTAGGCTTATTGTATAAAAAATGATCTTAATTTATCAGAACTAAATGAAAATATGACACTAAATAGGATGCAATGGAGAAAAATGATTCATGTAGCCGACTCCACGTAGTGGGATTAAGGCTTTGTTTTTGTTGGTAGTTCTTTCGTAAATATGTCTGGTAGTTGCTTTTCTGTCAAGTAATGCTCAAGTTTGATCTTATTGTTTTCTTCTACTATTCTAATAAAATGATACTTGATGCCAATGTGCTTAGTTTTATTGTGAAATATAGGATATTTTGCTGTTGCTGCATCTAATTTATTGTTATAATAAATCCATGCTACATCTAATTTATTGTTATAATAAATCCATGCAGCTCCACCATGTTGCTTTCCCACGCCCTTAGATATACATTTTAGCTACATAATTTGGTTTGTAATTATTATTTTAGTTATGTATTCTTCTTCTACTGATAATGGCTTAACTATTGCTTACTTCTTAGATGCCCAAGAGACTATTCCTATGCCAAGTGTGAATGTATAGCCTGATGTGTTTTTTTGTCATCGATAGATCTTGCTCAGTTGTTGTCGTTATACTAAAGAAATCTTGAGTTTGACCTTGATTCATGCCTAGGGTTACAAACAAGCCGAGTTGAGTCAAGCAACATTGTTTTCAGTATGAGCTTGTTATAAAGCTCGAGCTCAAATCGAGCTTCTGGGCTTTTGTTCAAGCTTGAGCATGTTTATAAAATTTGAGCTCAAGCTTAAATTGAGCTTTTGTGTTTATACTCGAACTTAGTTCATTTATCATTTAGACTGTTTGTCATTTAGACTGTTTGTGTTTGGTTCATGTTCATTTTATATGATAATACTCAATCAATTATCAAGTGTATTAAAAACTATTATTTAAGTAGTTAATTTCTATCCAAACAATCTTTACTGAGCAAATTAAAACTAGTGTTTTTGTACTATTTATTTTCTAACCAAATGAGACTTATCAAATATTCTTGCTTTAAATTTAAAATTTGCTTTAATTTAATATAAATGTGTTTTAAATTGAGCTTTATTGAGCTTATTTACAAGTTTAAATTAAACTTTAATCGATCTTATTTATAATCATTAAATTGAGCTTTAATCACACTTTTTTATGAGCTTCAAATGAAATTATTCATTGAGCTTCTTAACGAGCTTATTTATGAGCTTTAAATTATATTGTTTGCGAAGTAAACGAATGAAACAAGGAGTTATTTAAGCCTTTTCATTTAGCCATCACTCATTTATAATAGTATTCAAACTTGTTCAATTAGTTAATCGAATGAATATAAACGAGCTTTTATTGACTCGAACTATGAGTAGCTTGTCAAGCACTCCGTTTGTTTGCAGTCCTATTCATACCACATGTTAAAATTTTTTGATTCTTATAGGAAACTATAAATTAGTTTTGCTCCTCCATAATATATTTGGTTTTTGTATGAATCATGATAGTAGATTAGTTGCGTGCGTAATATCTCGTCTAATTACGATTTGTCTAATATTCTTGACAGAGCTGAATAATAAAAAATTATGATTTGTCTAATTTTGGCATTCCACACCTTCATAAATGCGTTGTTATTATTTAACGGAGTTGCAAATGTCTTATTTCATTTCATTGGAACCTTTCATGAGTCTAATAGTATAAATTTTGTATGAAATGAAGATTTGATCATTACTCATAATTTGGATCTTGATCCTGAGAATGTGGTGCATCATATCAAAGTCAACCATCTACCAATGATTGATGGTGCATTAGATCATGTTGATTTAAGTTATGATATTTAGTTTAAATATATTGCATAGGTTATAAAATATGCTCGCTTACCGGATGATTGTTGTGGTCATGGTATCACTTCAAATGGATTAAGACGGGTGTAAGACAGCTATGGGCTTATGTTTAAAGAATATATAAGTCTTGTTACACTTCATGTAGATGATGGACTATTTAAATGTATCAATGAATCTTTATTTCATGTGTTCTTTTCTATAATGTCTTAGGAGTTTGAAAAGTGTATAATGGAAGACATTATTATTATTATTATTATTATTATTTACTTCAATTGAAATAATAAAAATATGACACATTTGTCCAACTAAGTAAATAAAAAAATTGATTGAAATATTTGACATGTAGATATTCAAATCAAAGAAGACTCCCCTGAGCTAAACTATAAAACTAAATTTAGATGAGATAAATTAGTTGATCAAAAGTTTTATGGAGTATGATAAGGTTCACAATTGTGTACCCTATTGCAGGGAAGTCTGAAATTATATTTGTTATCTGTCTTTTTGTTTGTTTTAAGGCTATTTAAGCATATAATTCATTATTTAATAATTATTTGTAGGTTAGGTTTGTGTTATAATAAATTTGTTATATGAATTAGTTGTGTAATTGATGTGGATTATGTTGGCTGCAAAGTTAACTAAACAAGCATTGTATGCATGTGTCAATTTTAAGATCATCAGATGTAAACTGGTAATCTTGAAAATACAATTTTTTAGCTTTTCTTCACTATTAAAGCTAAGAATATAGCTGTTGTTAGTTGTGCTGTTCAAGTTCTTTGTTTAATGCAACAAATTAAAGTTTATAAATTAAGTTTGAACACACCTCAGTTAAATATGACAATACTAGTGCTATTAACTTAACTAGAAATCCAATTTAAAACTCATAAACCAATAATGTTGAGATTAGACTGTATCATTAGGGATCTTGTTTGTTGAAGTGGTGTGGATATATAATTCATTAATATTGATTTAGAGATAATTGATATTTTTGCAAAATCTTTTACTTAGAGATAGGGTGTCAGTTAGTTGATCCGGCTGAAACTCTACTCACGAACAAGCTCGGTCCATTTTGTTGGGCAATGAACTCGAGATTTACTAAAAGTCAAGCTTTTTTATTAAACGATCTTGAGTTTAATCTTATAGAGGCTCAGCTCATTGGCCTAGCCAACCTTTGGTCATATCCATGCATTCTACAATGAGCTCTTGCTACACTTCTCCCGCTATTAGTCACATAGATGCCTTTTTCAGGGAACTCTCATGAGAACTTTCTATCATGCTTAAGCTTAAGTTAGCTAGCTGGCTTGCAAGCCTCTATTCTTGCCTGGAGCTGAGCTTAAACTTCCATTTTGACAGATCATTTTATGTTTGAGGCATATGCTTGGCATTCTAGATCATATTCTATAGAATCATTTGATTATTTCAACTTCATTATTCTTTTCATTTTGGGATTCATTTTTGATGTTGTCAAAGGGGAGAAGATTATATATTTACAAGCTTAATTTACATCTTCGTCAGCAACTTCTGCCAATATTAGTCATCCTATGATTTTCAAAGATATATTATTTCATTATGATGATAGCAAACCTATGGTTGAATGTTTAAATATATTAGCAAGATATTTTAGGTGGATTAGAATTATGGCAGATCAATTCAACACATTACACAGTTTGTAATGTGTTCACACCTACTTGATGATTATATTAATCACAGAGTTTTTTTAGATGGATTAAGA